TCGGGGGGTTTTATGGCAAATTATTCTCGGATTACTCTTTAATGCAGCGAGGTCTGCCTGTTGTCTGAGCTCCCTGGGTCATATAGAAAACCCTCAGACTTGATACAAAACAGCTGCCTTAGTCAGCTGTTCCAAAAAAGGAGCAGTTTCAGGCCGCAGCAGCAGGAAAAAGGTTTTTGTAGCTGGTAGAGATTCTGAAAAACGTTCAAGTACTCTTTCCTTGCCATTAAAACGTGATTTAATTTTGTTATTAACAAATTGTGTAAATCGAAAACGAAGTACTCGGAGTGGGAGTTTGTTAAGTGCATTCTGGTAATACTTACAGTATGTCCTGGGGGGCTGTTCTCCCGGGAGGGCAGCAGGCACAAAACTCCAGCTGACCTCCGTGTCCCTGGGCCTCAGCCCTGGCTGGGCTGGGGTCAGGGGGGCCAACCCCTAGGCCTCCCTCCTCTCTCTCTGCTGGGCTCCTGCTGAGACCAGCAACAAAAGGGTCAATTGTCTGAGGCCTCCCTTTGTCCCTGGGGGCTCCATGGGCCTCTCTGAATGCCAAAGTGTCTCTGTGCACGTGGGTGAGTGCATGTCTGTATGAATGTGTGTGTATACGTGCATCTGTGCCAGGGCACGCATATGTTTGCATCTGAGTATTGTGTAAGCATGTGCGTGCACGTGTGCACATATGAACACATGCTTCTTGGTATATGTGCACATACGAGTGGTGTACCTGTGCATGCATGTGTGTGAGTGTGGATGTGTATGCAGGCATAAGTGTCCATGCACACATGTGTGACTTGGGTCTGAGCGTGCACGTGTGTGTACATATGTGTGCACATGCATGTGTAGATTGGGCCCAAAGTGTGCACATGTGCGCTGATGCATGTGTGTCTGTGCAGATGCAGACAGTGGTGAGACTTGGTTAAAGCATTTCCGAGTTGCTGATGCTTCTTAGCAGGGCGAGGGCTTGTAGAGGCCTGACTGGCCCGTGGGGGTTCCTAATGCCAGGGCAGAAGACTATCTCTGGCTCCTTTCTCAGCAGATTACAAGTTGCCTTTGGTATTTGCTATGGTACAGAAACCTTAGGGAATTTTCTCCCTTCTCTGTCTTCTGTAGGGTCAGATGATATGTAGGAGTGAGGAGGAGCAGACATAGTGTCCTCACTCATGTTCCAACCTGGGGCTTTGTGGCCTATGAAGATTTTTCTGCAGTGTTCCGGCATCTTGGCAAGGCTGCCTAATTGGATCCATTGCGTTCCGTGTGGAGTTTAAGCCGTGTTTCCAGGATGGCTGTGCGATGCCCTGTTCCCATGCACCACATGAGTGGGTTCCCATGTAGCCCCGGGGCCTGTGCATGGGTCTGGTTTCCCTAGCACGTTGTTACCTGGCCCATGGGATATGCTGCAGCTGGTCTGTGTGGTTCCGTGATCCACACTTTCTTCCTTCACAAAGATGTCCTTTTTAAAATGACAGGGAAAGCATATTTGAGAAGTCCGGAAAAGGCAAATAAAAGTGCTTAATTGAAATTCATCTCTGTGAAGGATTTCTCTCCCAGCTCCTTTTAACCAGCACGGCTACCATTGAACAACTTCCTCTGCTTTTTTCTTAGTTTTGTCCCTCCCATGCCCATTTTCTCTCCCTGCTCCAGCAAAGGCGTGTCTTTCAACTGTGGAAAAGCCACCAATGAAGCAGTACTCTAAAGCTTATCAACACATTCAGTTGGTGAAATTATCTTATAATAAGCCTAACTGTAAGCCAGAACTTTTTAACTCCAGGAAATGTAAAGTGACGGGACATGTGAAATCTGTGAATTGCTCATCCTGACCTTTTTGGCTGTAGTTTCTGTTTTTATGTTCTTCCCTAAATAATTTCCTCCTTGTTCTTTAAATTCTTGATTGTCCCTGAGGCCTCTTCTTCTTCTGTTCACTTAAATCTCCCATATATATACATATGTGTGTGTGTATATATATATATATATACACACACACACACACACACACACACACACAAACACATATACACACACATTCCTGGTTTAGTTGACAAATAATTGAATACACTCAGGTGAGTGTGATATGAAATCAGCTGGATGTTATATATTTCACACCTTCACTTTTAGATAATCTTTTTGTAAAATGAAGCCTATCTTCCCTGATCCCTAATGGCTCGCCAGTGTCGGTTCTGCATTTGGGGTATGCATTGATGATGACACACGGCCGAATCATTCTGGAGCTGAGCTATTCAAACAATAGCTGGGGGATTTTGCAGCGTGTCAAGCTGGACAGAAGTTTGGACTTTCTTTCTTTCTTTCTTTCTTTCTTTCTTTCTTTCTTTCTTTCAATAATTCTAACTGATTATAGTTGACGTAATATTATATTCATCTCAACGGTTTTATTTCTCCTAACTCTCCATCCCCTTGCTTCTTCCTT